ACCAATTTCTTCCAAACTTGGCACAGTTGTTGGTCCTGCTACAACATACCAAATGGCCGAAAATTTTTAAAATCGGACAATAACCATATAACGGTAATTTAGAAAAATACGAAATCCTCGATAAATCAGTAGATATTAAAGCTAATTTATTCAAAATTGATGGTTGCAACAATTTTTTACCAAGAAATACGCTTATGATACAATTTTGGAAAATGGGCGTGGCACCGCCCACTTATGATCACATATATGTATCTCGCTAACCGTTCTAGCAATTTGAACCAAACTCGGTATGGTTATTGTACTTGCCACGTGTAAGCAAAACGTTGAAAATTATTGAAATCGGACTAAAATAACGGCCGATTCTCATATAACGGTAAATTTAAGAAATGCTTGAAACTTCAATATTTCGAAATTGAAGGACGCTAATTTACTCAAAATTGATACACCTCGGCTTACCATCTAGCGGAAGGTTTCGGAAGGGTGAAAAAACATATATTTAATACTTGCGCCGGGTATTTAATGTTCGGCTCCGCCCGAACTTAGACTTTCTTACTTGTTACTTCTGAAAGTTGAGCGCATCTTGTGTTTATAGAACTTTTTAATAAACAAGTCATCTTTAAGCAAAAAACCAAACCAACTTCAATTCCCATATACAAATTTAGGAGTACCGTTAATTTCTTCATGATGTAATGATCGCATCTAAACCAAATTACGGGACGACCCTTGAGGTACCATATTTATGATAAAAAAAATAATTGTTGAAATCGGTTTACGTGGTGTCGATGTATGCGGTAGCAGACATAAAAAAAGAAAAAATATTCCGACGAATTGATAACCTCGCCCTTTTTTTGAAGTCGGTTAAAAATATATGAGTTCTTTTTTATTTTATGTAAATAAAGTGCAATTTATGAAACTTTAAAAAGTTTTTTATCTATTAGATACTATACATAAAACTTGCATAAACGAATTTTAAAGAGGCTATTATCTGAAGCAAATTTTCAGTATTCTCTGATTATATATCTTTAGAAGTACATGGTTACCCCTGCATTGGGTGTCAATTAAAGCTGCCTTTACATGGGTCGATTTCTTTAGACTGGAAAATCGCCTTAACACAGGTCGATTTTGGTTGAACGACGAAAATCAACTAGGAAAACGACCAGTGTAAAGGCAGCTTAAGTTGTAACTAACTACATTTGGACATAAAATATGAATGCAAATATTAACGTGATTTCTTCAATTGTTTAAATGTTTATTTATTATTATTTTAACATTAAATTTTTTTACTTATTCTGCTGCAGGTGATTCAAGTTCAGTTAGACATAATATCAAAATAATAATATAAAATTTCGATCTTCTTCGAAAAATAATCTGTGAAGTGCAGAAAAAAATGTGTATGTATTCAAAATAATTCTTGTATGAAGATATTTAAATGGAAACTTGTTTAAATAAAACAAGCTCCCGATTACGTCTGCATGACTTCCGCATGTGTTTGCAACTCACTTTAGGTTGGTTTTTGTCGTAGCTAATTAAAAGCGAGTTATTTATCTAAATTCCACAAAAAAGCTAACTATAAGCCACTTAAGCTAGTTATTTTAAACAATTGATAATTTATCACTGCAGGGTTACTTCATACAAATACAGTAAATATAATTTTCCAATCTACTTACGGTATAACTGTTCAATAACATCCGCGGCTCATGCAATCAAGAAGCTAACACAAAAGTGCGCAGATAACTAATACATAAATAGACCTACAATAAAATTGACTAACTTCAGAAATTTTCACTTTCACGCTTAGTGCGCGCTATCAGCGCAGCAACAGCAATGCCTTCAGAAATTCCAACTACAATTTGTGTGAGGTTATATTTCTTCTAAACGGTATTTTCATTTTTGATTTTATAGAGCGCACTGATTACCTTAAATTGGACTTTTGCCCGCTTATAGTTGCTTAATATCCAAAGCACAAATGGATGTGATGAGTTCCTGGCGGGAAATTCAGCTACAAGAATGGAGATGAAAGAATTTATTTTTATATATAATTGTTTATGTTATA